TCTGAAAGATTCTTCCTGCTTGAGCCTCTGAAACCAAACCTGTCATTATGGAGAGCTTAAGAACCTCAGTTAACATGGCAGCTGGTCCCACTTGTGACTTGCACCAGTGTTTTGTAACCAAGTCCTTATTTTTTGGAGCCTGAATCTCTGTTCTGGTATTCCGGTTCCTCTGAGACCAAGGCTATGCTCTGCTTTATTCAGTCTTGAGCACTAGGGACCTCTGTCAGATCTGAGGAGGCATAGAACGCCTCTTGCCAGGCTCCTCCTGTGGGTTACAACACCCACCCAACCCCCTTGCTGTTGGTTTCCACTGTCTATTCAGGTTTTGTCCCCCCAGCACCTGACAATTCCCCAAGCAGCTGCCCCTCACGAAGAGGAACATGTCTGCTCCCTGGATCCTGGCCCCTCTGCATCTGGTCTGATAGGCCCCATTGCCCATCAAACTCTCAGTGCTTGCTTTTACATTAGAATCACCTGGGGAGTTCTTTAGATATGCAGATGCTTGGGTTTCATCTAGATTACTTAAAGCATACTCTAGAGTTGGTCCAGGATATTGGCATTTAAAAGAATTCTCTCTATAAGTCTCATAAGTATCCAAGGATGAAAGAACTATATCAATTTCTCTCCAATTTTAATGTGGGGATGTTGTTAAAATGTACTTGCTGATTCAGTAAGTGAGGGGTAGGGCCTGAGATTTTGCATTTCTGAATAAGATCCCAAGTGATGACTGTAATGTTGGTCCACAGGCCACTCTTTAAGTAGCAGGACTCAAGACCAGTGGTTCTCAAACTGTCATCAAGAATCACCTGGGGACTTGCTAGAGATGTAAAATTTCAGGACCCTCCTCAGACATACTAGGCCTAAAACTGGGGGTGGGACCCAGTAATCTCTGTTTTGACAGTTGGAGAACCACTGGCCTAGATGGCACTGCCCAATAGAAATTAATGCAAACCACATATGTAATTTAAAATTTTCTAGTTGTCACATTTTAAAAAGTGAAACAAAACTGATAAAATTAACTTTAATAAAATATCTTATTTAATCTAATATATCTGAAATATTATCATTTTAGCATATATCAATATAAAAAATTAATGTGAGAGTGTGCATTCTTTTTTTTTGCGTTCTATGTCTTCCAAGTCTCATGTGTATTTTACACTTATACGCCATCTCAGTTCTGACTAGCCACATGGTAAGTGTTCCATTGCCACATGGATCCACCATATTGGACAGCCAAGTTTTAGAATTACGACAGTGATAACAGCATTGGCTTTTATTGAAGGCTTGCTGTGTATCAGGCGTTACTTAGTCAAGCACCTTATGTGCATTATTTGTATAAGCCCTACCACGACTCTGTGGATCGGTACTATAATTATTCCCGTTGTATGCAGGGGAGGGCTTATGCCAAAAGCCCTGTTTACTGTTTCACCAATGTAATAAGCGCACTCTAAGATAAGCATTTCCCAATTATTTTAAATCAATTTATTTGTAAAAACAAAAAAGAAAGATAATGAATATTAATAAAATCATTAACATTAGTACAATTGTTAAGACATCTATAGCTTATAAAAGGCATCATAGTTGGGGAAGTAGAAAAGTCCAAATTTAGTATCCTCTAACCTTTTAAAATATGCCTAAAGCCCAACAAGTACTCTTCTGTGACACGAAATCTGCTGAAAGGTTCTTACTGAGAGGCTATTTGGACAATAGGGATCCTTTGGGAACGAAGGAGACTCTAGTGAGTCACATGGCAGGGTAAGATTTATCTTGAATGGAAGCAGCTGGCGGGTCATCATCTGTTCATTCAAGTGCAGATTATGATACAAAATGACTCTAATAATTCAGTAATGCACCACACAACAAAGTTTAGGATCATGGACCGCATATACAGTGGAGGTCCCATAAGATTATCATGGAGCTGAAACATTTCTATCACCTAGTGACCTCACAGCCATGGTAATGTTTAAGCTTGACGCATTACTCACAGGTGGTGATCCTGGTAAACAAATTTACTGTGCTGTTAAAAAAACGAAATTCAACTGCGTAAATTTGAAGCTCTAAGTGGCTTTATTAAGAGATTTGTGAATGAGGTAGCATCCATCTAGCAATGAAGGGTAGCACAAAATGGAGGGTTTGTATAGGAAGAAGGGTGGGGAAAGGGAACTATTAAAAAGAGAGAAGAAAGATTATTTTGGAGCCAGGACACCCTTTCTTTGGGGGAAGAGAAATGTGTCATTAGGGTTTCCTAAAGGGTTTTAGTCATGCAGATTGCATTTTCTTTCTATGGAGGAACGAAGAGTAGTGACCGGTTACCTTACTGGTCGATTATTGATTCCAGAAAATTTCAGACTGGTTGATTATGATTCCATTTCTGGGAGAGGTGGAAACTGCAATTAGATCAGGTATTAAATCTAAGTTTGGTGTCATGGGCTTTTTAGCATGAGTTATGTCATTTTGGCCCTGTGGGTTTATTTCTTAAACTGTAAAACAGTGTGCTACGTTACATAAGCAGCAGCCTCACACATCTCTTGCGTTTGCTGCCCCTCTTGATTGCATCATTTCCTCTTGTGCCTGATTTAATCTCGTGTTGCTTTGTACAATAACCTGCTGTACAGGTTTGTAGCCTGGGAGCAAACAGGCTAGGTGATTAGTAGGCTGTTCCATCTAGGTTTGTGTAAGTGCACTCTATGATGTTCGCACAATGACAAAGTTGCCTAACAACACATTTCTTAGAACATATCCCCATATGATTGTAGTTAAATATGAGGCAATGAGCTTCTCTCAGTATTGAGGTAGAAAGCAGGCAGCTTGGAATTTAAAAATAATGATTGACTTAAGTCAAATAGTTCATCTTTATTAGTTTCCTCAACTTCCGTAGTTTCTCAAAGAAGGCCAACTTTTAAATGTATTTTCCCTTTCATTATAAACGACTATAAGGAGAAAAAAGTAAAAGCAATTTAAAATTTTCTGGGCTAGGCTTCCGTTTTTTGTCAGAATTGTCATTTATCATTTTGACCAAGTAATATGAATATTCTATTTTGAACTGACAGATATTTAAGACATATTAAAATGTGACCATTTAAAATAAATCAACAGAAAAATACATTATTCTACAGGTATGTTTTTTAAAACTCTGGTATATTTTAAAAATAAAGTTAATCTTATTTAAAATTTTAATTAGATATCTCAAACTTAAGTTGTAGTTTTTTTAATTTAAATATTTGTGTAGTTTTAATATGTGAATTATGCTGAAGGAGTTCACGATTTTACCATACTACTTGAAATATAGGAATCACTTTTTTTTTTACATATCGTGCATATTCCTCAGTATTTTTTTAAATTTATTTTTCACTTATATTAAACATACAACATTATATTAGTTTCAGACATTTATATACATTACGAAGTGATCACCCCCATAAATCTATACCCGTCTGACAACGTCGTTGACTATATTCCAGTGCTGTACTTTACATCTCCATGACTATTTTTATAACTGGCAGTTTGTACTTCTTAGTCCCTTTCACCTTATTTCACTTGAAATAATAGTCATCTCTCTTTTTTTTTTTACATATCATGCATAATCCTTAGTATTTTCCATAATCAGTTTCAGTGTCTTTCTTTAATTACAAGGAAAGAATTGGATTTGATCTGTCTCTTAACCAACCTTCATCATATTAATTGTAAAATATATCATGGCGGTTTATACTGCACTAAGATCAGAGGCGCTTCTTTCACCTCCTTTCACCTCTCAGCAGAACTCACTGACTGCTTAAGCATTCTCTTTGTTACGAAGTTTAAAGGATTCAGGGATTTCATCTGCTTACCATAAAGGCTTCTATAAAAATACTTAAGTGTTCCCTTGGTAGGAAGTAACTAGTTTTCCTTCTTAGGGGTGTAAAAGACATAATGAAGCAATGGAAGCCAGGAGTTGGTCTGATGACGCATAGCATCTTCCTTCAGTCATAGTATAAAGAGATCTCATCTCCAATTGCTATGGTTTGAATAGTCTCATCATAAGAAGAAAGAAGCTGTAAAAGTTTGTAACAGATTTTGTCTTTATTCTTTACACTTGCTGAGTTTGTGTGCTGTAAACCACTGGAAGCAAGGAGTTTATTTTGCCCATTATTGTATTCTCGAAGTGCCTGGCATGTAATAGACTCAGAAGTACTTGCCACAAATATTTGCTGAATGAATGAATACATGCATGAATGAAATGAATGGATGAATGAGTAAATACAACTTTTAGATCTTAATTTATAATTCTAGAAGTAAAATGAAAGCTCAGAGTTTGTTGGTGACCCAGTCTGTACTATTTCTTCATTGGCCTTTGGAGGGAGAAGCAGGGGATTGGTGTCTGCCTGCATCATGTCACTGAATGGTCCCCAGTCTCTGCCAACAGATAAGAAATGTCAACAGCTTAACCCAGTAGCTTTCAAAAATAGCATACTTGATGAAACTGGAAATTTGGGTGCATGCTAGAAATAAACCGTTTGCCTTCAGCCTTAAGAAGGATAGGCTGACAATAGATATTCCAATCAGAGATATCTAAAATATTTTTTAAGACCCATGTATAAGTGAGCAACGAAATATCAGATGAAGTGTCTTCCCTCTCAATAAGGTATATTTTCAATGAGTCAGGTAAATCATTTTGAAAACTTCAGGATTATGGCCAGGCACTCTGTTTCTTTAAGATTCCAGTCAAGTTTTCTTGTTTGTTTGTTTTCAATAGTGCTGGGCAGTTTTCCTCAAAATTTAAGCAACTATTTGAACAGTAAACCAAGTTGGTGTGGGTTTCCTGGTTTGTGCCCTCCCCGTCCCCGTAAGGGATGGGGGGGTGTGGCGATTCGGACACGATTTTTTCATCACTTTGCAGACAAGTCCGGCTGCTGTTAATGCTGAAAATAGCTCAAATGCTCTCAGAACAGTAGCACCACCCAGCAGCTGGGATTCTTTCCTCTCTTATTTGCCTTCTCTCTTGCCTTTTTTTTCCCTTTCAGACACTTGGATTGGACTTAATCTTAAATCTCTGGAGTTCAAGACCTTTTAAAAGGGGCTAAATAAACAATCTCTACATGTAAAGGCCACTGACTCCTACTTCCTCTGTTCAGAGCAACTGTTGAACCCTGCTGCCTGGAGGTAAGAGTTTTATTCTGGAATTATTTAATTGGTTTATGATATGTTTATGACTAATGCTTTTTAAATAACTTACTTATAATGAAAATAAGCAGAGGCTGCGAATGATCTTCAGGTAGATACGGTGTCCCAGAATACGGCAGGGGCATCTGTACATTTTTTGTGGCTGTAATTTTAAACTTTGCTTGAAGCTCCCTGTCACGCTGACCTGTAGTACAGACCGGCCTTCGCCTGAGCTGCCCCAGAACCTTAATTACCCCTCTTTGCCAGGGCAGTGAGCAGCCCTTTGAGACGTCATAATTTTGTTGTTTAGACTACTTACTATTTCTAACTAATGAAGGGCATTTTTTTTAAAGGAAAAAGATGCAACCACCTGAGTAAAGAAAATCTATTAGTAATTGTTTTTTAAGGACCACGAGCGAGCTCTATTTTATTTTGTTCTTCCGTCACTGTTTGTTCATTGCTAGTGTGAAAGTAGAAGTTGTTTGTTTGTTTTACTTTTTTGTATGTTCCTAGCACAATTCGGTGACTCAGATCTGAGAATTCCTCACCTAGCCAAAAGTCTTTTGCTAGCAGGTTTCTCTAATGTGACAGCATTATATTTTGGATAGTTTACTGTGTCTCCCGTCCCCACTCCTTATGCTTGCACTTAACATTTTGCAAAGTACTTTGATCTGTGGACTTTAACTTCAAACACAACATTTACTTTGGTTGTGGGTATTGACTACGGTCAGTAAAAAGTCTTTTGTTGTTGTTGTTTCATGCTTTTAAATAATTTCCTTTAAATAATCTATTGGGCTTTGGTTTTCTCTCACTGATATGTCTTACGTTTTACTTGTGAAGGGATCCCTGACTGCAGGGAAAAGTTTCTTTTATGGCAAGGTTCTCTCATCAGATAGACTTTATGACAACTCTCTGCTCCCCAGCAAGCAGCAAATGACAATGCAAAGAATCTGATTCTGTCAACCTCCTCATTTGATTGCCCTGCTGACTCAAAATTACCACATGCCCTAGGGCCTAACTGTTGCCTTTTTAACAGGGACACTGAAATCCTTGGAATTTAAAAATTCTTGTTTCCAAAAAAAGTTTATTGATATCAGTGATGACGTGTCAAAAGAAAGCATGCATTTTAAACACACAGAGATCTTCTGGGTAACTTAAAAAGAAGAAGAAGAAGAAAAATTAAAAAGAAAGAAAGAAAAGAAATTTAAAAAAGAATAGGAAAATAAAGAAAAAAACAAAAAAGACCCTCTGTAGCCAAAAGTCTGTTCTGATAGTAAAACTTCTGATGAATGAAGAATAAGGAATATTTTTTTAAAAAAGTATTTCCTAAAAGAGGCAATGTGGCACTTTCTAACCATTCAATTAACTTCTAAATGTTCTCTTTATTTTAAAGAAAATTCATGTGAATATTACATAAGTTTGTTACCTTTTTTTCTCCACCCCAGGCAGAGGGTATTTTCAAAGTGCTCAGCCAGATAGTGAGTTTGACGGTCCCTGGCAAACTGTCCCTGCCTGATCTGTTGAAGGTTAGGAGTAGAATGAGCCTAATCCTGTCAGGAGACCATTTAACTCCAAGTCAAGGACTCCTCAGAGCTGATGCAGTCCACTCCGGTATTCTGCACCTTGCTGAGAAGGAAGGAAGCAAGTGTCCACAGAACAAGATTTCAGAGGGGTGGAGCTAGGGAGAATGCTGTGAGAGAGGTTTCTCCGGATTAGATGCAATATGATCTCTAGAATTTGGACTATTCGTAGGAAAACGCAGAGATGTTCAGTCCAATTTTTATTTCCAAACACTGGACATTTAATTGCTACTTCCCCCCACCCCTTCATTCTGCATTGTAGGGAACATTTTAATCATCACATTTTTGTGATGGGTCAAAATTCTAAATCCTCCAGTTATTTTGAGCATGGACTTCACTGCCTTTGGGGATCTAGAATGTTCTCCTAATACTAGAAAACCCTGATCTGGCATTGCTGAGCGCAAGTATATTACTAAAGGTAATACAAGTTCATTTGCAGAATCCAGTGGCACCGGGATGAAATGGGTTTGGAGGATGATAGATGGCCGTTTCATTCTTGGGGAAGCTATTTTTTCCTATTTTGTTGTTGTTGTTTTGTTTCTTTGTGTCTCTTCACCCCTGAAACTTTGGATTGTTTGAATGTGAAACTCCAGGTGAAACCTAGCCAAAGCCACTGAGTTTCACACAGGTTCCACATGAAAGAAGTATTTTACCCAGCGTCGCTCAAAACTTGGCCCATGTTTTGCCAGAAGTTTCATGAATGTCAGTGAGCCTGGATTTGAAACATAATCCAAAGCCAGGTGACTTCTAGTGACTCTGAGGCTTAATTGTATAAGTATAGAATCTGTCAAACAAGGACATCCCTTATTTTCACGTCTTCTGTAATTTCATTGTGTACACACATTTTTTCCAACAAACTCCCATTTGGTCTATGATACTTTAAAGCCAAGTTCAATCCTAATATAAACTTTTATAGTTGTGGTATTTAAGCACTGGCAACCAGAGTTTGCATTTTAAATTCCTACACAGTCTGAACCACAGTGGTGTGAACATGTTGGTATAATTCAGCTGAAGGAAGTCCCAGGAGAGTCATGGAATGTCTTTCTTTGCTTAAATATACCTCTGTGCTCATGAGGAACAAACAGTAACATTTTGTCCTGGTCTAGCCACTTGACAGTATGCTTTTTGTTCACTCTCCAAAGGTGGTGTCAAATATATTGGTGGAAAAATAATAAACTTCCAGATATTTTTTTTTCGCCTGTTCAAGTGATACGCTCCTAGAGAACATTGTAAGCATTGAAAAGTTCGGTACTATTATTTGTAACGTAATGTAAATGAGAATAAAGACGTACTCAGCAGAGACAATTTCCTTCAGAAAAGTTTGGTGATTTGGAGCTGATGTGTGTGTTAATAGTCAGTAGGGCACGTTGTGAAGGTGTGTGTGTGTGTGTTCTGGGAAGGGGTAGTGGTAGGTGGAGAGGAAAGGGGATTCGTAAGCTTTGTACAGCAAATCTGTCACATCTAAAGCAAAGATAATCAAGCCCAGGATCTGAAAACATTTCTTTCTTTTGTTAATCATATAAATTTGTGTTGGCTGAATATTGAATTTTTTTGGTATTATTTTTCTTATTGAAGACACCACATTCTGATCATTAGGATTCCAGAAATGGCAAATAACTTCCAATGGAAATATGACAAATTGGGAGAGCTATGTACTTGTAGATAAAGTTGCATGAGCCAATCTTAGAAAGATCTACAGGGATCTTTAGCCATTGTTGATGCTAAGCAACCCAGGAAACTAGGATTTGATATGTCATTTTATTAGTTGAAGGATTTCTCAATTCATTTGAAGGATTTTTATAAAAATGAACTTATGGCTTCATTAATGATTTAATCAGACTGAATTTAGTAAGATTTATAGTTATTTATTATAAAATTAAGTTGTCATCAAATTTCATTTTGAAAACTTTGTAGTCATATTTTTGTTTAAAAATATAGACTTTTTATTAAAGATACAGTTTGTGTTTTAGCAGGTGATTTGCAAAATAACTAATTAATCCCATACTAAGTAAAGCATTTGAAAAGCTAATAATAAATAACAAAACTTGTGGGTTCTATATGTAAGAGCTGCATTTGAACACTGACCTTACTATTCAGGTCAGCATATGTATCAGCATATCTGATTTTATCCCAAAACTAGTACAATGAGCCAGAGGAAAAGAAGATGCTCAAATGGAGGTGCTAGAGAAAATAAGAGACTACAATTCAGGACTATCCTACAAGGAGATTCTCACTAAATACATCAAGATATAAGAAACTCAATATTTGGGAAACAATCATCTATAATAACACAGGAAAAGGGAAAGGGCACAATACCAGGTTGAAAACAAATACCAAATTTGTGCATGTGTAAATGTTTCTTTAACACACTATAAGGCCCTCTCCTTTCAAGAAAGACCTCACTAGTCATTTAAGAATGCAAAAATCAGTCCCTTAGAAATCTTCTCCTGTGCTCAATTTATGGTCAGAAAAAGGGGTCCGTGTAATACTTATCCATTCCTCTAGGATATATTATTAAAAGTTAAATTTATATATGCATCATATTTGTTTTCATAAAAAAGAAATTAGTATCAGTCTGATCAGACCATGATGACACAAAATAAAGTATCCCCCCAATACACCTAAGAGGATCATTTACCTGAAGCAGATAAACAATCATTTCCAGGAAAGTCACTGTTCTCCGACTAAATTTTTATTTGTTATTTGGATAGTATAATCATCTCTGAAATAAGAAGTAGTACTTAAAATAATGCTTTAATAATTACAGTACTCAAATACAACAATGATCTTAAAGCCTTCTTCTCGTACCTATCCAAGATGGACTGTCAAAAAGATGTGGGCATTTCTTACAGGTTTAAATGTAGAGACTGTTAGGAGATGTCAGGTCTCCTTAATGCCACGCTCGTGCTGAGCTTATCCTGGGGAATCACGGAGTAGGAGACCCCAGTGACCCTCTAATCATTCTTATCTCCATGGGGAAGTCAGCTCACTGGGTTTGAGTTAAAATAGAGAATGGAGAAGGAAATTCCTCTTTCTTCTAATTGGGCTGAGGACCTCCCTAAGGCTTTTGGTACAACATTTTTTTTTTCTTTTCTCATGGCATTATCCCTCTTTTCTGTTATTTCCACTTCTCTTTTTCCAAGAGAAACAAAAGCCTTCCCTTGCAAACTTCACCATTCTTGAGTTGTTGAAGGAAGAAAAAGCCCCAAGGTAGCTAGCTTTGGTGGCTGCAAGATTCACACATGTTACAAAGCTGGCCCATGTCCCTCTGAGTTAGAAGAACATCTTCATGTGCCTTACAGACAGAGTTATGTTTAATAACTGTTGAATACTTCATATCGGAATTAAAAATATAATGGACACAAGGGCAGCCCCTTAGGTCAGAACAAAATATCCATTTTTTGTTAACCAAACTTTATT